CGGAGGCACGGTAGCCCGGAAGATCGCGCACCTCCCGCTCCGTACAGTATGGTACTCTCACCTATTCAGCAGATCATCACAAGATTAGCATCCGCAAGGCCACACTGCGTCAGACTTGCTACAAGTTCACGCGGTAGCTTGTAAAAACGGCGCGCACGGAAGACGCTGTGTCGGTCAACCACATGCGCGAAGTTGTCCGCGGCGAAGTTCCCTGGAGGCCTCCAATTGGCGCCGCTCTCCCATGCACCCCTCAAATGAACTTCGATGCTCACAATGCGCACTCCATGGTGATGCTCTGCCACCATGAAACCGGGCTTTGGGCCAGGCACGGCCAAGATGGGATGCAAAAGGCGCATGGGTCGGTGAGTAGGTCCTGCTCGTGCCTTACTCTCCGGTCCTCCGTACTTCCGACTTCTGTCCCTGCACCTAGGAAAACAAAAGCTACAGTGACAGGCTGAGAAAATGCCTTGGTTGTACGCTCCCAGTCTCGCGTATGTCCGCCGCGTGCAACTGAACCCGCGAGTCCGAACTGGCTGGACCGCCTGAGCACGGCGTATCGCGCTTACAGAGGCCGGCGTCCTCTTGTCGCCGCAGGTCAGCCACTCGACTAGTACTACCCCGTACGGTGCTTACCTACCGACAGGACTAGTGGCTCCCTCGAGGCGACATACGTCAAGGCTCTGCAAGGCCAGCACTCATGTCGCGGTCACTTCTCACCGAAGGCTTGTTCCACTCGGTCGTTCACGCCCGCGTCCAGGAATCACGCATCACTGCTTGGTGCTACCATGCACAGCCCAGGAAATGGAGTATCATTGCGAACGAGGCTAAAGGACATGACAGAGCAGGCTGGAGAAGTGCCATGCACAGTCGTCAGGTGAGAGGTGCCGCCACAATATGCTTTTGCCGAACTGAACTTTGCCTGCGGGGGGCTTGGTGGCACACCGTATGGCGCTTTAGCAGCAACGCTATCACCCATTGGCTACGCTCCGGATCTTTCAGAACGAGGGTTCCACCGCAGGTGGTTGGTGGCAGGGCGGTAATGCCGCCGCTTGAAACTCGAAGTCGACGGGGCTGCAGCTGGTGCCCGAGCATCAGCACGGTCTGGGGTCACGGCCAACTTCAAAGGTAGCGAGCTTCCCGACAACACAGAGAGACCGCTACAGCTGAGTTCTCTCAATGCAGCCGTTATGCCCACACAACCTTCCTCAGCCACATGCGCGCCATTCGTATCTATGATGATGAGGAGCACCATGAAATCGGATGCTGCCTTGGAGTTTGAACTTTGATGCGTTCAAACTTTCGGAAGGCGTCACCGACGGCTTCGTGCCACTCCGAAAAGATCCCTATCGACGCCTCCTGTCATGCGGCACCGCACTCAGGCTGCGCGTGCGTCGCACCGACTGGAGTGACGGTAGTGGCTGCTTCGGGCGCAGGTCAGACGCTCTTGGCGTCTGTGGAAAGAGTTACATCTGGGACTTGTCGATCTTTGACGTATGTACGCACCTGTCTGCCGCTGTCATGCATGGGACTGATCTGGTCGCAAAGTTGACCTCTCGCAGATACTAAGAACGCTTGGATCCTACGTTTGCTCCCAAGGCCAGCTGGAGCGGGCCGGGCGGGTAAGATTCATCTTTGCCACGAGATCCATTTGCATTCTCAACTATTCGCCACTGACCAGAAGGTGACGACGTATCCCGTATTATTGCTGTGCTGAGTTCATACACTCTGTAGGTACTGATCGTTCTAGCCTAGGTTCAGACGAAGTTTGTTACGCCGGGCATATCAAAGGGAACCCCGCCTTCAAGTCTGCAGCAAATGCCTTCGCGCTCGACCCTCCTGACCAATACGATGCCATATACACACGCCAGCTTTGTATCCCTGACTTTACTCGACCAATATTTAGGTGCAATAGTACTGGTCCGTTGGGTTGTTACTCAACCCTCATGACACAAAGCCCGATTTTGACGACGCTGCCTGCTATCTAGGGCCCGAGGATCCCTCCCCGATGCAGTGTGAGGCGTCCCGCTCGACAAGTGGTAAGGTGAGACATCAGAATTGGCGATGCAGGCCACTCGCTGCGACGCTGCCACTTGCCAGTTGAAATATTTGTGCGCCCGAGGGGCTGGGTCTGAGCACAGCGCCCGCTTCCGATCACTCCCTCGTTCACCACTGTGCCATGTGGGCGCCCATCCTCTCTCCTCTTCAGGAACGAACTTTTCTGTCAGCCCTAGCGCTCTATACCAAGTTCTATGACAGTAGGTGAGCATAGGAATTTGTGCCTGCACTGCACAAGGCATGTTGGAACGAGATGAGCAGGTTACGCGAGAGACAAGTTCAGACAACACTGGAGATCGAGATCTGCGATCACACTTGAGGAGGCGGGTGTGGGGTTCCGGGGTCCTCGGGATCAGGACGTGCCAGTGCGCGCGGCTCATGGGCGTTGAGCGCGTCTTCGGTTGATTGCGTTCAGCCATCGCCGACTTATATCGCAACCATCCATGCCGTACCCCCTGAGTTTCTCCTCCTTCTCTTTCCTCTCCGACCTCCTCCTTCACCGGGGGCCTGTCGTCCTACTTTCACCAAACCGTTTCGTAGTTTCCTAGGTTTCGTACGGGGTTTGGTCGCGTTTTGTGAGTCCTATTCCCAAATGGTTGCCCAGCAACGTACGCTGACCGGCGGGTGTCGGTTCTCCAGCTTGTGCTTTCGACTTTAGATTCGTATAATGTTCTCATCAAGGGCGCACCTCCTTCTATCGCTATGCGCATCGTATGCGCTAGCTTTCACTCCACCCGCCAGGGTCAACGTCCCTCTCTTCCTCAGTCCTGCGGGGCGGCCAGTGATGGGCGTGGGCATGGTGAGTTTCCATCATGCCCTTCATCTACGCATCTTGTTAATTGTTGCGGTCACAGTCGACGAACAATGTTCAGAACTTCAACTTTACCCTCACAACGAGTCTGGGTTACACTACGGTCGCAGGCAAGAGTTGCCAGGACTGTAGCGACACTCCTCTGTACGTTAAGATCACAGCCTACCCTACCACAGGATACTCATGGGCGCAGATATGACGTTTCTCTGTCCGACTCTGCGAAGCCTTTGAGTGGCCAGCCATCCGTTAGCCTAGGAGACTCCGGCTACCAAGGCACACTCATCAAGGAGGATTGTAAACTATATGCTTCGGGTGGCCAGACGTGGAACTATCCGAACCAGACCAGTGAGTTCTCGTCGTATGGTGATGAGCAGTGTTGTGCGAGCGTAAAGACTGACGATTGTCAACCAGTCATCGTCGCGAGCAATCAGTCGAAGAATTCCATATTCGACAAGGATATATCAGGTCTGCTGGGCTTGGGTACACTCAAGAACCCGACGGATGCTGCGGGCTTCTCTGCATCGTTTGACGATGGCATCTACGGCCAGTACTACATCCGCAATCCCGATGCCACGAACTTCACTTTCGGAATGGACCTCAAGCCCTCTCCGGTTATTCCTGGCAACGGCTCCTCCTTGACAATTGGCCCTGGCGCAAAATCGCTTGGAGACTCGGGTGTTGGAACGCTTCATTGGCTCCAACCGGACTCGTCTGCATACCAGACGGACAAGGTGCAATGGCGTCCGGTCCAGATTGGCATCACAACTGGCTACCTCGCGAACAACACGCAGCCCGATTTGACGGTCCAACTCGACGGTTGGTCTGCTGCAATCGGTAGCAACAACGTTGGCGTTAGTCAACCTATCCTGGTGAACGTCGACCCCTACCATCCCGGTATCTACATGCCGATGCAAGAGGCACGCCTCATCCGTAGGTCTTCTCGGGCATCAATGCTGTGTGCCAAGCCACTGACATCCCCTCTCCTGCTGTTTCATAATGAACTCGGATCTTAGATGACGCAATATCGGGCTCGGAGCAGACCACGCTTTCGACTATGCCAGGTCAGACGGTCGCCTGGACCGTCCCTTGCAACACGCAGCTTCAGTTCGCCGTTATCATAGGGGAGCAGCGCTTCACGGTTGACCAGTCCATCCTCATCGTCGACCAGGGCGATGGCACATGTGTTAGCATCATCGAGGGTTTCACAGATTCGTCGGTGACCCAGTACATCTTTGGCCAGAACTTCATGTCCCAGCTCTACCTGTACGTACACCCCCTCTTCTCCGCAGCGTTCCACATGATTGCCTGACCTTATCGCCGCACCTTCCATTCTTGCATCTTGACAGCATATTCAATATCCCAAAGAGTGGGATCTCGAGCGTCGGCTTTGCTCCTCGCACGGTCTCCTCCACGACCTCACGCGACATCGGCGCTATCGTCGGCGGCACAGTCGGCGGTGTCGCGGGCGTCGTCGCGCTCGGCCTCCTCGCATTCTACCTCATCCGCCGCCGGCAAGACAACACCTTCTTCAAGCGCGCCGCCGAGATCGAGGAGGAGCACAAGGTCGCGAGCACCGTCGAGCCCTACACGTTCGGCCAGAACATGGTTGCCCACGACCCGCGCGGCTTCGACTCGTCCGGGCTCGCCTCCCCACCAGCCTCCGCACACGACCCGCTGCTCGGCATGCACGACGCGGGCCCAGTGCACCTCCCCCCGCCGACGTACGAGGAGGCGTCGGAGGCCGGCGGCTCGTCCGCTCCCCGTGGGTACCCTCGCGATTCGAAGATGACGTACACGACTGCTAGCCCCCCGGTGAGCCCGAACCAGACGGCGTTCTCGGGCTCCGGGTCTAGTGCGGTATAAGTTCGAAGCTGTTTTCTCGCTGTGGATTTTGATAGCACAGGGGAAGGGACTCAGTTCGTAGAGAGACTGGACGGTCGTTCATGTCAGGGCCGAGGGTTTGTTTATGTATGGTAGTACAGTAGGTTGGTCTTCTATCATATTTCAGATCAGTCGAAATCGTTGGCTACTGCATTGCAAGTACGTGTGATACAAGCTTGAACCTGCGGTGAGCATTCAGGCCTGAGAAAGTAATCTCACGAGTCATTTACGTTAACAGGGAAGCACTATCGTATGCCCCGTGGCTGAGTTGGTTACAGCGTCCGACTGTTATCATTCATTACGATGAAGATTCATCGGAAGGTCGTGAGTTCGAGCCTCACCGGGGCAGCGTGTCCTTTTTGATGTTCCAGGCATTGTCAGTCAACGATAACACTCGATTCAAGTTGCCACGCAGGTAGTCCTAGTTTTAACGGGTCCTATATACTGTACGTTTTACTTACGAAGGTACTGTGTGCAAATGGTAAGATGTTCTTCAGCTAAGGCTCAATCGCGTATCACATGTAATCATCCTCATTCATATCGTCCAGTAACCTTGTCTCGGACGTGCGGCCTCTGCTGCGGAGATCTTCTATAACAAGTTCAGCTTCAAGAGCTCTGCAAGGGCTTTGGCCCTCTCGTAGTGCCCATTGGGCACCCACGTCTCCGTCTCGAAACCGATGATAGCCTGGCAGCCGACATAGTTTTCGCCCGACAGCTGCAACCTTTCGCTGAACGCCTTTGTCTTGCTCACGTCGTCGAGTTTGAACTCGACCGGACATGGCACACCCGCTCCTGCAAGCTCGGCCCACCTCCCCTCCACCTCAACCAGTAGGGCCTTCAGGTCGTGGGTCTCACCCTCCCAAGGAGCACCGGCATGGTCGAAGAGACGGCGGATGAAGATGGACACCAGATCCCATAGGATGTCGTGGTGAGGCTCATTGAGCTCCATAGTGCTCTTGACGTAGCGATAGTGGACAAGACGGGCGTGGTAGCGCCCGTAGACCTGCATGTAGTCGGATTTGTCCGGCTTGTGCGTGTGGGCCCTCTGGCAGTGACGGGCGGGGTGAGAGTCTGTGAGGCAGGATCATCGTAGGTCTGCAGACGGCCTGGTATGCCGGCGAGGAGGAAGAGGGGAAGAATCGCAGTGTGTTACCAATGGAGCAGGCTACCGACCTTCAAGTGGCTTGGGCCATAGCCGGACGAGTCTGACGACGTTGATACCATGAGGTTGCTGGGTTGTAGGTCAGGATGGCGCATACAAAGTGCGCGGAGGGATGCTTGCGCCCAAGCAAGCAAGGGGACCATGCGATGGTAGAGCTCAAGATTTTTGATGTGGTCCAAAGGCGACTACTCCTCGTACTCATAGGCCTCCTCGCGCTGGAAGGGGAGCAGCGGCCGACCAAAGCGTTCCGGATAGGCTACTTCTTTTGATCCAACTGCTGTGAGTACCGCCTCTGGGTTTTCGTCTATTTGATGAAGCTCATTTGAATTCAGATATCACAATACGCAAGGAGAATGAGACATACAAGGCCCTCTGTCCACATCGAGCTGTGACCTTTGCCAGTACCACATCGGCAACCTCGTATCTGGACTGACACAAAAGCGCTCGCCGTCGAGCGAGATCGGAATACCCATCGTGCCTCGCAGGGCTTTCTGCAAGTCGTCGGCTTCACATGCTTGCAGGCATCTATGACGCAAGGGATCACCGTGCTACCACCTCGGCCCTTTCGCCAGCTGTTACCGCCAACCTCGCGGAAGAGTTTGATTGAAATCTAGCTATACTTATAAGGGCACTATATGCTCCCATAGGCCGAAACAAGCCGCCGGTCCAAGTTTAGTCTGGGTGGTACTACTACTGACATGTCCGAGAGATTGTCAGGACATTAGTCCATAGGTTGGATCGCAAAGGCATGGACATCATGTTGGCACAAGGCATGCTCTGTTGCTGCAAGGAGCAAGGGTTGCGGTGAGCAAGAATAGGGCGGTCTAATTGACGAGTCTTACATACATTTTGAAGCAGCAGCAACGTATGGAGCCCGCCTCACCATTAGACGTCTGGACCCTATTCCGTTTGTCGAGCAACTTGACTGGGTACTAGGTAATGGCAGTCACCAGGGATCGCCTGCAGTGCGGAGGAGCTCAGTCGGAGTTTGCGCTCACCGATGAATATCTACCACTTACCACACCACGCGTCGGCGACCGTCTAAGGATCGGATTTGTCTCCTCGCGCCAACGGAGCGTCCGTTCCCCTTCGCCAATGCACTACTCGTAGTAGCACAGAGTCCCGGATCTGACAAACGCGTCCATCGACATGACTGAGCACACCGAGACTGCCAGTGGAGGTCGATTGATCTGCGCTCACCATCAATTAGTGACACTCTTGCAGGCCACACAGCCGTCTTGGTGCAAAGCAGGCACATCATCGTAAACGGCCCGAGGCGCATAATTCCATCGTGTGTTCTCGATGCGGTTCTCCTCTCGCTTCATACAAGCCACGGATGCAAGTAGGTCCAATGCGCTGCCTTGGCTGGTGCGCATGGTATGAAGTCCGGAGGAGCTGGTGGATCTCTGGAACGAGACCTCATACGTGACAGAGAGGACGAGAGACATCGAGGGCGGTGGATATGGGCTGAGTGATTGTAGGACAGGTTGTGTGGTTGAAGAAAGGATGAGTAGTGTAGACGTCAACTAGATCTCGCACGTCGTGGTATGGGATGGGTGTAGAAAGAGGCGTCACTTACAGAGGAAGGATATGAGAGACAAGAGTACGGTCACTTGGAATATAACTACTGCTAGAAGCACGAGGGTAGCTTCTCTTGTCGATAGGTGGTTGAGTGGAGTGGACTGAGCAGGAGCGCACTAGGTAGCGGTTGAAGAGAGAGACAGAAGACGTAGGCAAGCTTAGCCACAGGTCACAGGCCACAAAATCCATGCGGCGGAGTAGAGATCTAGATGGTAAACACGGCCGCACAGGCGGGGGCTGCATCGTTGCGTCGCGTCGCGTCGGTCACGTGATGCGCGTCTTGCCACTAACCACTCACTCACCTCGACCTCTAGCGATGTCCACGGCCATAGTGTCGACGCAAAGCACCATAGAGAAGCACCTAGAAGGCAAAAGAATAGTCCACAGTACTTGGAGCTGTTCTTCTTGGACTTGTGGCGTTGGTAGTTGACGTTTTAGGAGTGGCCTCGGGAAGTGTAATATCTGGGTGACCGGCCCTCGTATATGTATGGCCTCTGCCGAGAGAGCAGTCTTGCGTTTCATAAGCCCATACGAGAGGTCGGGAACGGTGGTTGACGCATTGGTTGACGCATTGATGAGTACATCCCGGGTCCCGGGGCCTTGAACATGTGCAGGGACCAAGGCGTTGACGAGACCATGCGCTTTTGTCGCATCGTTCAAACCTCACCATGATTGAGACGTGCCTATGATGATGTTGCATTGACGGCATTTTCACTTGCTGCTTTCAAGACGACAGGCATCCAGCCGAAGCATCAGCATAAGGATCCCTTGGAAGAGACAGTCAGCACCCGACTCTACCCACCATAACTTTGGAACTCACCCTCCGCGTTCGAAGCTGCCCCGAAGCTACCCGATACAACCTAATCTGACGTCAAGTGTTTATGACTAACAACAATTGGAGCACGCAACGTAACGAAGGGGCAAAGAAGAATAGGTTGCATTCCTGGTAGATTCCTGTAATAGCTGCGTGCACATAATACAACGCCGGACACGCGACGGCGACGGCGGCGACAAGAACTCCATCCATCCAGTCCATCCAATGTGTCAATGTGTGTGGGCGTGAGCGTGATTGAATGAGGGGGGAACAGAGGGGGCGGAGTGTTGGATTGTATCGGAATAGCAGCAGAGCGAACAAACGAACAGAAGGCATATAACGACAAAGTCCTGGCAGGGTACCGTGCTCTACCGTACGGTACGAGAAGACGATCCGAACGCACCTACCTCGTCGCCTGGGCTACGACGGATGGTACCAGGCACGTACGCCCGCGTCTAGCTATTGAGAGCACGACAGCAGGGAGCCCGGCTAGCGTCCGCCCGGCATGGGCCCGTTGTAGATGGACTCGTCGACCCAGTTCGCGCGGCTGTTCCGCGTGGACTCGAGCGGGAACTGCGGCGCGTAGTGCGAGCTGCGCGACGACCGGTGGCTGCTCAGCGGCGCGCTCGTGCGGTTCGGTGGCGTCTGGATCGGCATGAGCGACCCCTGGCGCGTGTGTGTCCGCGTGGAGGAGCCTTGGCGAGATCGGGACCTCGCGGCAGCGACGGGCACACTGCGACAGTGTGTCAGTATGATGACCAAAATACAAAGACCGAGTAGTTGACGTACTTGGGACCGTACATGGCGGGTTGCGAGACCATAGCCGTGGGGTCGAAGTTCGAAGGTGGAGGACCGGGGTAACTGGGAAGTCGTTGTACCTTCGCTTGCCTTGGGCGGCACTTGCGAAGAAGGCCTATAGATAGCCATACTGAGTACGAGCCACATCGGACAAGCGAAATGGTTACATACACCGTGTGATCGCCCAGACGATGAGCAAGAAGATGACGCCAGCCGCGATGGTGACGGGAATAGAGATTTGGAGGTTATGCACATACCACGCCTATAGTTTTAGAAGGGAGCGTCAGTCATCCGTGCATACCGTGATAGGTGACAGTGTGTGTCTAACCTTGAAGGTGTCCCACCAGCTCCCAGGCTTACAATGACCCGAGAAGCACATTCCACCATATCCTACAATGGTGTGAATCAGTCAACACACAGCGCGAATAGCCGTGTCCGTAGCGACGTACCGCAAGGAGAGCCGTCGATCAGTGACGACTGGAGGACAACGCATCGGCCCGAATCGGTCGGGTCCTGACATGACACCTGGCACGACTTGTCGTCGTTGCTCGGGCATGCCGATTTCAGGCCCATCGACGCGCCGACAAGCTGGCATTGCTCTGTGCACCATGGCTCAATCAGCACTAAAAAGCGCCTAGAAAGGCCTCCAGGACGTACGATCCAACGATGTGCACTGCCCGCTCGCACACGCCAATCCGTTCGCGCCGCAACTTTGACCTGCATCATCACACTAACATCAGCGCCATCGTTTCCAACATGCACATCCATCGTTGCCACCCACCGTTCGGCGCGACAACATCCGCAGGGCAGTCAGCGCTCGTGCCCGTACACATCTCCGCCGTATCGCACCGCGCGTCCTTGCTCGGCCTGCACACCTGCGTCGTCGGCGCGAACGCGCACTGGTCCGTGCAGCACGGGCTGCTGTCCGGGTCGCACACCGCGCCTGCGTTGAACTTGCACGTCTTCGAGTCGCAGCATGTCGAGTTCGCGCCGA